TAGGCTTATTGGAAGTTACCTAGCTGGGGACTATTTTCAGGTGCTGCGTAATATCATTGCGCCTGCTGCACCCATGGTAAATAATTAAATAAATGTTAAGTGAAATAAAATACTATTTAATACTATTTAATTTGAAGTACTAAAATTAATACAACTAAAAAATAAATAAATAAAAAGATTTTAATTACTTAAAATAAATGTTAAGTGAAATAAAATACTATTTAATACTATTTAATTTGAAGTACTAAAATTAATACAACTAAAAAATAAATAAATAAAAAGATTTTAATTACTTAAAATAAATGTTAAGTGAAATAAAATACTATTTAATACTATTTAATTTGAAGTACTAAAATTAATACAACTAAAAAATAAATAAATAAAAAGATTTTAATTACTTAAAATAAATGTTAAGTGAAATAAAATACTATTTAATACTATTTAATTTGAGGTACTAAAATTAATACAACTAAAAAATAAATAAATAAGACACTTAAAAAAAATGACTTTTAAAAAAGACAAAAAACAACAAAATTACTAAAATTCAAGTGAAAACAGAAAATATAAAAATCAAGTCTAATTCAAAATATTAACAAAAACTGCCCAATAATAAATGAATGATACTAAAATAAATGCCTCCTGTTCACAAATCTGTATTTCCCCAAGTCTGTACTCAAGTACTCAAGTCTGGCTCTCTCACTGGATTCTCTGCAGAACAGATCAGAGTTTCACCTTCCCATTAAAACCTGTTAAAGTGGCGTAGCAGGAGTCTGTCCGACAGAGTTTATCAAATCGACTCTGAACACATGCTGAAATAATGAATCAAAGAGACACAACGCTGCAGAAACTGAAGCCTCAAACTCCATTCAAACACATCAGCATGAGTCAGGTCATTCATCATGACTAGTGGTCGACCGATATTGGTTTCTTGACAGCCGATGCCGATATCTTGGAAAGCAGGGTGGCCGATGGCCGATATAAAGCCGATATAATTGTATTTATTTTAATTAATATTTAAGAAATTTGAAATCATTTGAAAATGGATTAAAAAATAAATTTGTAAAATAAACATACTTATACTTTAGATGACAAAGTATTTTGCACAAATAAATAAATATTTAATAAAAATATAATTAAAAAGTAAGTAAACTGTAATCAACAGGGCACTCAGTATTCTGGGAAGTTTGTGTGCATTGGGAATCATATTTTTTTCAAATAAAGCCAAGGTAACACTCACTTTACATACAGCACACAGTGAAAATGACATGAATATGACAGTGGGTAAATGCATAAAGCGCAGCATAATTTGAAATCACGAGTTTAATGTTTAAAGCATTCAATTTGCACGGACCGAAAGTCACGCAGAGAACACGCGATCATGCAGATCACACGCACACTTCACAAGATCTCACAACTGGATTCGACTAAGTCCGCAAGGTTTGTGAAATTAAATGTTCATTAGCCATTCAAAGATTTGTTTAAATTATATAAATGCGTATTTGCGGAAT